TAAACTCAGCATCTGTTGAAAGGCTATGGAGTAATATGGGTTTTCTTCATACAAATAGGCGAAATCGATTAAATGTAATAGTATATTTATTATATTATAATTAAAATTAAAATAATAAATAAGCTAACTATTTTATTTAAATAATAATAGAGTGAAAAAGTATTGGCAATGAGCCAAATTCGAAGTGATATACTTTATCATCGCCAAAAAAAAAAGGCAAGAGAATTAGATACTAAAATTCGACATTTACATCTCACTATACCAATTGTTGAAGATGAAGATTTAAGTAATCTTGAAGATATAGATAGTTCTTCTAAGGATGATTTGCAAATTAACAATATTATTGATATGGATAAAAATATCAATAATGAAGATGATTTGGCTTTAAGCGAACTTGATGAATCTAATTCTGAAGAGCAAGTACAAGAGTGGAATATATTTATTGAAGAATGGCTTCAAGCTATTGAACATGAAAACAAGTGTAATGATTCTAATGATGAAATGTTTTTAACTGATGAAATGGATAATGACTTTAGTTTTGGTGGAAAAAAAGTACATCCTGCTGATGATCAAACTGCAAAATGGCTATTAGCAACATTGTTTGTTTCTGATTTAGAATTACCAACTTATTAAAACTTTTCAATAATCAGGTTTGTTATTTTTATTTATTTGTAATTTATTATTTTATAAATTAATACATATTTTGAATAAATAATCTATATAATTTTAAATTCTTCTTTATAAAGCTAGAAACGGTTTTATTGCTTATACATTAGGAGGTTATACAATAATCAAATAAATTCTATTATGATTACGAAGGTTAAAGACAATAATGAAATTCTTGTAGATATAATTGTATTAGATGGGATAAACAAGTTGGAATTCATTTTATTAGAAATGCAATAATAGTTTGATTTTTTTTATCAAAAATTGTACTATTTAACTTTTATATAAAAATGCTAAAATATGTAATTGATTTTTTAATCAAATATTCATTGTGCATATAAAGAAATATTTATATTTAAAATATGCGAAAAGTATTTAGAAGATTTTAGATTAAAAAACTATTTAATGTCTAATGCAAACTTTTAATATATTTGAAAAACTCAAAATATATAACAATCGATATTCGAAATTTATTAATTTAATCTTTAATTTTTTGTACAAGGTTTTCAGATTTAGTTTCAAAAATGCTTTTTTTTTAACAAAGTATTTTATAAATGCAACTGTAAATAATTAATGAGTCAGAATC